ACAAAATTTTGTCCATCACCGGACAGGAATATATGGAAGATTCTAAAACAGCTTGCAAATATTCAGTTGCTTTTTGTTTTGTTTTGGTTTTGGGTTTTTTTGCAAGCAGGTGGCTGGGATATAAAAACTTGTTGAATATATTCACCACACAATTTCCTCAGATCAAAGATTGATCTGAAATAAAGAGATATGAAATTCAATTTGTTTCCTATACAACCGTTCCCTTTTGCCCCTCAATTTTTAGGCTTCACTTTCTTATTGAGGTCACAAGACAGCATTGCTGATTTGTCCAAGTAAAACAGCTACCAAATAAAAACAAGGGCCAAGTTGGTGGCATAAAGGCAATTTGTTAAGCCATTCATTTCTCACTGTTGCGTTATCCTTAGTTCACAGAATCACAAATTAAGAAAATTACAGGGATTCTTTGCATAAATAAAGTCATTATTGCTAAAGGTTCCCAGATTTTGGTCAGCGTGCTGCCACACTGAAACAAAAGCATCCAAGTATGGCAGCGTTGGGGGGTAATTTTAATCAGCATCAACTCTAAAATGGAATTCCTAAAGAAAAGACAATTTTGGGTCCCCATCTTACAAGGCTCCATATGAGCAACCTTCAATCCAAATAAATTACTATTATACTAACCTGTGAAGTGTGACTACTCCTTGCCCTATATTTTCAGGTTATCACATGGGAGATTTACCTGTCCAGTCAACTGGAGGCTACTTAAATGAACACCATCCATAATAATTTACTCCTAAATGTGTGCTATTAAGTGTACTGCACAATACTCTAAATTGATGAGCGCAGGTAGAGCACAAAGGAGAGGGAAGCCATTTATTCTGAAAACTTACATATCTCTGCCCCTTCTTGTTTCATCCTATATATATTTTATTGCAGATATTTATTTTTACATTATCCTGAAGAAACTGTTGGAGAAGAAGGCCTCAAAGCACGATCCCGAGTCAAATGGCTCCCATTCAGAACCAGTTTCTCCTAAAATGTCTCACATGGCTTCTCATTTTTATTAATGCTTCACTCCCTCGTGAAAAAAATCTCTATTTCAGTTGCCAATAAGGATCTAATGCTTCTGGAAGAAATATTCATCAAAATGAACACAGCTGCAAATGACTGACATTAGCATGAAGAGAAAAAAATATCACGTCAATGTTTCAACACATTACTTGCTGAACCACTTCTTCTACTCAGTACTTCTGCATTAAACGGGCGTGTCCCAAATTGGACACACCAGCAGATGGTTACAAACACTGTTTGGCATGCATACTGGTGCTACTCTATACTGCTGAAAGATGAAATACAATTCCTTTGAAGAGATTCTATATTTTTTATAATAGTAACTTATGTAACAAAAAAAACTATAGAATCTTTACATTTGGGCCCTCGTGTGTCAAATTTGTGCTGTCTTGCTTTCTAATTTTATTTTTAGTATTTTTGAACAGCAGTCATCTCTTTTCACAGATTAGTGCTTCTTAACCAGGAACATGTGTTGTAAGTACTCAGGGTGTTTCTTCCAAGATCTACATGTCCAGCCCCCACCTTGGTCACGACACCCATTCAGAACATCCTGGGGTGGGGCCTGGAAATGTGTATTTTGAAAAGCTTACCAGGTGATAACAAAGTGCACCCCTGGTTAAGAACAGCTTTCCCAGATCTTTTGTTTTTTAATTAATGAGCAAATAACTATGACATACATGTGTGCAAACACAGATCAATGTATTTCTGCTTTAGTCCCCGTGGTGTTATCTAAGTGTACTCCTTTGCCATCCCATTCTTCCCTCTGAATTTCTGCCTTTGAAATTGAAATTGTATTGGAGCTTCCCATAGTTCAGTAATTTTCCCAGACAAATTTTAGGCTAAGTCAGTGTACGTTAGACATTCTTCATTTTGGGGGACAGGATGCCAACTTAGATCAGCAAATCCTTCCAAAACAATGCCATCTTCACATACAGTCAATAAGAAATATTTATTCAGCAGTCTGTATGTTGTAGTAAAGGCTGGGAAGAATACCAGAAAAAACATGTGGTTCTTGTGACCTTGAGGAGCGCCAATGATATAGAATTAGGGTGAAAATATATAGACAAGCTAAGGAAATTGAAATAACCATGTAAGAAAGTCTGTGATTCAGTATGAAATTACTAGCACTTACGATAAGGACCCTAAAAATTCAGAAGAAATAGTGTTCACTACAGACTCAATGGTCATGCCACATTTCCATGAGGGCCTGGGGTTTGAAGAATGGATGGGGGACAGATGGACAGGGCAGAAGAATGCAGATATCCACATCAGGAACACAGCACAAATCAAGGCAGGAATGAACAAAGAACAGACAGTGAGAGACAGCCCTCGGGAAGGTAGGGGTCATCTGGGTGACTCATATCAAACAGATGAAGGCCAGACTCTAGTTATCAGGCTAAGGAGCCTAACACCAGGCATGCCACAAACATGCATACACATGACTTGCATTCATCTTTTGTTATGGGTATATATTGAGTATTACAATTTTAATACAGCTTTTTCCTTTCTTAAGATGTGTATACATTTTTGGGGGGGCAGATTCTGTATTTATCTTATAGTTATAGAAAAGACATTAAGGTTTCAAAGCAGCAGGCCATGGAGATAATATTAATAGTATTTTAGGAAAATGTAATTCTTTTGTAGCCAACAAAATATCTGTGAGTATGGGATAAATAACGAGACGTAAGAGGGCAATTAGGATCAGCATAGCAGTGACTTTACGAAGAACTGATGGATCTCAGTGGCTGACTGGTTCGAGTGTCCAGCCTGGAATAGAGTGGGGGCATACAAACAGTAGATGAGAAAGGGAAGTCAGGATTGGGAGCACATCCGAGTTTCCAGCTGGAGAGAGGAGAACAATGTCTCAGAAGAAACATCTCCACTGGACACATGACTTCGGAAGAAGTTGGTGAGAGGCAAGAACTTCGGCACAGAGGATGGGAGACAGAAAACCAAATCTGGAAAAGTGACCCATTAAAGACCACAGGGAAAAAACAGAATACCTGATGTAAACAAAAGCCATCGGAAAGGCAGGAGGACCTCTGGCAATCCAGAAGCCAAGGAAGAAGGGAGTTTCAAAACAAAGTTCATCAACACAGTCTTCTGCAGCAGTGAGGTCAAAGGCCACTGGTATTGACTCAGTTCTAGTCCCAGCAGCCCCTGTGTGTGCTCTAACCCACAGCTGCTGTTTATCCTTTAATCTTTAGTTACTGACTGTGCAAACCAATCATTTAGCACTTATATCTAGTTATTTTTTAATACCTGTCATTGACCCCCACACACTCAAGACATTACATTTTATCTCCCTGACACTCTTATAATAAGCTTCTTGAGGGAAGAGATCAGAATGGACAGCTTTATGCTCCCTCTCACCCCCCACTGTGCCTTCCCATTGCCTCTAGCAATCACTTAGATACGTGTTTAACTAATTAGAACTACAACCATCCTGGTGAATGCAGTATGCAGATAAAGACCAGTTGGATTCAGGGAGAAGACAGACATTGGTGTAGTGTTGAGCTTTGCTATTCAAAGTGTGGTCCATGGACCAGCAGCATCGCCTGGAAACTTGTTAAAAATACAATCTTGGCTGCCATCCCAGACCGACTGAATCAAAACCTGTATTTTAGCAAGATCCAGGTGACTGACTTCTATGCATACTGGTGTAGACTCAGTAGAGTACAGAAAGGGCTACCAAGGAAGTTAGTTGGAGGAGGAGATGGCACGTGAGTTTCGGTACGTGGACATGTACTGAAACCCAACTTCATCCCACCCAGATCCACGGCTCAACGATGCAGCCCAGACACCTTGCGTATGTGGCAGGGCCAGGCCAGGAAGCAATTCCAGCTTCTGAACAGAATCCCGGATGCATAAATCCTTCTTCCCTAAACAGCTGCTAACTTCAATTATAGGAAGGGCTTTGCAGATTATATCTACAAGGCTGTTTTTCTATGTTTTATAAATATTCTGACCTCCTGAAGACCTAGTTTATGCTCCTCATATTTATCTAGCCCTAAGGTTTATATTATTCTGCCTCTCACTCATGTCTCCTATAAGATTAGGTTTCCCTCTAACCTTTAGATTACAATTGCTAAAATGCTTTTTTGGTATAATTGAACGCTAAACCTGAAGATGTAACTTTAACCACAAATAAAAAGAACCTACAATGGAGGGAGCTACACCTACAGCACTATTGTTAAATGACCAGGTGTCAGGAAAAAGCTCCCAAAAACAAGTCCTATTAGACAAAGGCACAGTCATAGCCCAGAGGATGATAACTAAATAGGCAGAATACCCCGTTTCTGGGGGATGTGTTCAATGCTTCAGGATTTCTTTCTCTAACTTTCCTATAGATAAATGTATTGAGTATCCCTACTTCAAAATATCACTGTGCTGGAAGAGTTCTCTGTGGGTCTTTTATTATTTTTTAACAGCTTTATTGGCATATAATTTATATACCGTAAAGTTCACATTTCAGAAATGGAAGAGATTTTTATTCCATTCCCCACCTTCAAGCAACGCTTCATTAAACTCACCCAGGAATATAGCACAGCCCTTTCTTAAATCTTTGGGAACACAGGACATTGTCATGACCCTCTGATAACATATCCTAGTATCTCAGCTTTTATCAGTGGAAAGAACATCATGACAAAAATCTGCTCCATTAAAATGCAAACTATAAACATAATGACTTTAATGCTCTGTTTCAAAGGTGACTGAGAATACCATGGTAGGCCTTATAATCTGCCTCCTCTGTAGGAACTCCACGTGGGAGCAAATTTCATTTACCGCATCCAATGTGGAAATCACAAACTACTATCCCCCCAGGTTTTTTTGTGGACTATTTGTTCCACCAGATGGCATGCTTTTCAGGGGCTGCTGGAGCCTGCACCAAGCCTTTATTTTTCATCGCAGGGATGGTGTGAGGACTTGCACAGGTTTTTCTTTCAAAAAGCAAAACAGCAACTTACATGCTCTCACAGAACCTCGTCAGTGTGCTTGGCTTCTCCTGGTTGCGTCTTTGTCGAAACCAGCGTTGAATGCTGCGAACATCCCAGTCTAGCTGCTTGGAAAGACCTTCCAATCTCTTTTCATCAGGATGCTATGAAACAAGGTACCAGGAAAATCATTTTCATCTTCACCATAAACACAGCTGCCCTTCTGATTTGAGATGTTTTCCCCCCTAGATTTACTATCTGCTACTGAGATTTCCACACTTACCCCTGAGGACCTAGGCCTTCCAGTAGCAGCATGAACATAAATAACCACTTAGGACAAGAAAAGTTACTCATTGTGAAACAACACTGAAAAACATGAATCTTGCTCGAACGCTTGCACTTCTTATCAGCAACAAAGATTCAATGGAGCAGCCAGATGACTGAAGCATCTCCATTAGGCTTCAAGGAAAAAGGTTTCAAAACAAAGCTCATCCACAACAGAGAGGTCAAGGCCACCTTAGGTGAATTTGCATAGAGGCATCATTCAATCATTCAAATATTTCACTTTCTCGGGGAGGGGGCCGGGAAGCTAAGCTATATCTAATTATCACATATCAGGATAATAAAAAGCACCAAATAATCCCCAAATACTTCCTCTTAGCCTAAGATACCAATTCCACTGCAAAAACATGTTTTCTCTTTCTTCTTTTTCTCTCTCCCCTCTCCTCTGTTCTTCACACATTTCGTTTACTCCTTCTCCTGGTCATTCCTTTTGACCAGATCCCCATCAAACCTTCTATAACGACAAGTTTGAAGACACAAACTTGGTGAAGTGAAAAGAGATACCAATTATGCTTGCCATGTGACAATATGTTGTTGTCTCTCACTCATTTCTGTAACATTAGGGGACAATAGACAGGTTCAATTCCTCGCTGCAACGACCTCTCTGAGCCTCAGTTTCCTCACCTGTTAAAAAAAGGGTTTTATTTATCTACCTAAATGAAATGGTGGTGAGGACCTTACATAAAAATGTATGTAAAACTCAGGTAATGTTAATTCTCCCCTTTCCTGTCCTCCCACTCTCTTCAGCATCTTGCCAACAATCTTGTGAGGGTGACCTGCCACACAACAAAACTAAGCTAAGTTAGTTCTATTCTGTATTTATTCTACCATTGTTTTAACATTAAGGAGATGTTAATTATCAGGGGAAATGACCAAAATTGGGGTGGGCGGAGGCAGGCAGGCTGACCAGCTAGAAAGGTGGAGTATTCCTATGACACCTCTTTTAAAGCATCTCAATCAATTCCAGGTGTCAAACACACAGGAAACAGCCAGTGGCCTTAGTGTTATGACTGAGGTTATGAAATGTGCTGAGCTTGTGTCTGTAAAAGTCGTTTGACAACTTTCAGTAAGGTGTGTACTTTGAGGTGTTGTTTTAGTCATCATGACACCATCTAGACTCTCATTTCGTTGTGCTCTCTTAATTAAAAAATACGGGAGACAGAAAATTCACAACCTACAATATATCTTGACTGTATCATTTTCCTAAGGGAATTCGTTTTTCATTTCAACTCATTTTCTAAGTTTATTGGATAAGTAAAACATTCACAAATGCTTCACAAATTAAACATTATCCAGAGTTTCACCTTCCTACTTTGTTCCTACTCTCTTAGTTCTTACTCTCCCCTTTCCAGGTAAACAGTTATTAAGTCAGATTCTTTCCAGAGTTAGTTTATGCAAACATAAGCAAGTTTGAATATATATTCTTATATTCCCCCTTGTCACATAAACGTTGCATACTGTATACAGCATTCTGGACTCTGGGGTTTTCATTTTACAGTGTATCTTGGAATATTTTTGTATCAAAATATAAAGAACACCCTCCTTCTTTTGTACAACTGTAAGGATATGCCATAATTTATTTATCCACTCCCCTATTAATAGACATTTAGATAGCTTCCAAACTTCCACTACTAAAAACAATGATGCAATATATAACCTTGGCATAGGTCATTTTATACACAACATTTTATAAACAGGGATAAAATCCTGATAGTGAATGTTGGAGATCAAAGTGTCTATGCATTTGCAATTTATTGAGATATTGAAAAATTACCTTCACTAATGATTTTGCCAACTTATATAAACAAGAGTGCCCATTTCCCAAAGCCTTATCAACAGAGTATGTTATCATACTTCTCAAATTTTTTCCACTCTGATGTATAAAAAGTGTCTCAGTACATTTTTAATTTGATTTCCTCTTTTTATGAAAGAAGCATCTTTTCATGTGTTTTAAAAACCATCTATATTTCCTTTTTATGAAAAATCTTTTCTTTTTTTTTTTTTTTTAGCTGAGCCATCCTGCCACCTGTTGGCAGCTCCGTGGCAGCTCAGATCAGGCCGGGAATTGAACCGGCGACCGTGGTGCTCAGAGCTCACACTCTTGAGCAAGCTCTTAACCAACTGAGCCACTCAGCCAACCCTGAACAATCATCTTTTCATATCTATCACCCATTTTTCCTGATTTTAGGTATTTTATTGATTTGTAGAATTTCTTCATTTATTAGGGTGATTACACCTGTACCACAGGTTCATTTATACATGGAGTATTTACTCCGCTATAAAGAAGAATAAAATCATACCATTTACAACAATATGGATTGACCTACAGAACATTATGCTAAGTGAAATAAGTCAATCGGAGAAAGACAAATACCATATGATCTCACTTATATGTGGAATCTAAAGAACTGAAAGAATGAGCAAAATAAACAAATAGTCTCAGAGATATAGAGGGACAACTGATGGTTGCTAGTTGGGAGGGGGGTGGGGATGAGGGAGAAAAGGAAAGGATTAGACAGCATAAATAGGTAACTACAATATTGCCACAGGGATATGAAAGACAGTTCGGGGAATATAATTAGTAATGTTGTAAATATTTTGTAGGGTGTCAGATGGTCACATGTCTTGTTAGGGAGACCACTTCATGGATGGCGTAGAGTCTTGATCACTGCACTGTACACCTGAAGCTGATGTTGTATAATATTGTATGTCAACTATAATTGAACATATATATATATATATATATATATA